GAAGCAAATTCGTTAGCTGAGCGGGTGATACGAGGCACCAAACAATTCATGGCAATGTACCCTAACTTCACGGGCGGATAGAAGTGCCCCCTTGAAGCAGCCGTTGCGCACCACAACAACTCCAATAGAGCTGGACTGGGATATAACCCACACTTCGCCGCGAGCGGAGAGAGCCCATGACTACCTGCAGATCACGTTCGGGGCTTAAGCAACTAAATCAAATTGCAGGAACAGAAACGACTCCCACGGCAACAAGAAAAATATCGGTCAGCAATTGAAAATAATTACGACAAACGACAGCAAAGTACAGTACCAGAAATCCAACCAGGCGACATGATTTTAGTCCGAAAAGGATTACAAGGCTCTAAGGCGGCATTTTCTGGGCCTTATGTGGTCACCAAAACATGCAGGCAACAAGGAATTATCAAGACTCTGTACTACTTGGGACCGAATGGCACCACTGAAATTCCTGCTCTTAGGAACGTGGTTCCATATCACCCCAGGAGGGTTGAGGACAAAAGGCCCGGCGTGTTGAATGTTCCAAGGCAAAGACGAGAACAAAGAGAAAGCTAAAAAGGAAAACAAAGAGGAGGAAGGCGATCAAATAAAAACGCCGTTTCATCATGTTACGTACTTTGGACCTTTATATAATATATCTTACGTTTTTCACATATTAGGCTTGAAGCCAAATACACTTGAGTCCTACGGAAGGAATCTTTTTCATGCCCTGTCAGAACAACCTTTTGGAAGTGCATCGCACACACGCCAAGCCAGTGGTCATTACCTGCTTGGGGCCACAAACAAACGCCTGCTAGGACGCCAGTCCGCGGTCATGAATGAGCTGGAAGCAGCCGTTTTGGCCTGGGAGCGATTCCCTTCCAAAACGTGGTTCCAACAGGGTATGACAATTCAGCCACACAGATACTGCAAATGCATTTGGCTCGAGGAGTGGATGTGAAGAAGGTCGACGTATCTACTGACCTCTAAATGGCTGGAAACTGAAGGGGGCGAAAACCGTAAATAAGGTCGGCACGCCTCTCTTATCGTTCACTGGCGAGGGGAGTTTTAATGGCCGGCCTCAGCCGATCTGAGCCAACTGATGAGGCCGTCTACGAACCTGCCGAAATACGAGCTAGAGAATGCACAAATGTCTCAGCTAGAAACGTGTAGATCTTTTGGAGCTTTATGATATTGGTACAACCTTCTGATTAAAAGTATATTACACGATATTACTGTTCAATTATTTTTATCTGGCCTCATGGCGTAACAAAAACTTTTTATTATTTTTTTATTTATTTGAGAACAATTATTCACAAATAGTTTAAAAATATATTTGATGTTACGACCAAAAAATCCACGATTACACGTGAAAAATAAAAGTTGTATATTTGACGAAAAGAATCCCTGAAGAAGGGGAACAAGAGAAACAAAGGACAAACACAAATCTCCAAACACAGCTGGTTTGGAGATTATTGTTTGTTCTTTGTTTCTCTTGTTCCCCTTCTCAAGGGATTATTTTCGTCATTGTTGTCCAGCTCGCTTGCACCTTTGCCTTTACTTACATTCAAATATTAAATTTAGCTTTTTTTTGTAACCAAGCTATTTGAAACGCTTGACGTTCTTTGGAGACTGTCCTGCGGTGCAGAGATACTTATGTTTTCCTTCTGAAGCGTTGAACTCATCTTGGACATAATAATGCTCCAAGAATGATAGACTAAATTCTGCGCAAAAAATGATCCCTTAAATTGTGCACTTGGCAGTTGCCGAGGGACCATCTCCGCGCACTACGTCACCTACTCTTTGTGGGCTATCGCCGAGGAAAACATTCTACCGCTGTTTCTGTTACTTCTCACCTTATAGTGTGGCGCTTAAATTATACGTAATGCCAAAGTACAAAATTGTAAGGCAGGTGCTAACTTTTTGTTCGGGTTATACTAGATGCCTTCATAAAGCCTTGGTTCCAAAAAGCTGCACCTATAGATGCTCACTGGTGACGTCGTTTTAGACCCGTTTCAAAACGACTGGCTAGGGGTTATGAAACAGTGGCAGCGACGTTTATGTTCAAAGTCCTCTAACACATAAAATTCAGTATTTAGGAGCAATTCTTTCAATTGTTTGCAAGACAATAAAGACTCGTTCTGTAAGTTAAGAACCAATATTTTTATCATAGGGAAACCGAATTCGTGTGCCACGTAACCAGAGAAGGGGAGGGGAAGGAAGGCAAGTGGTGAGGGAGAGAGCGCGCTGTAGGAGGGTGAGCAGAGACATTCACAGAGGAAGGGAGAGGGAAGGAAGAAGAAAGAAATGGGGAGAGGGACTTCGTGTGTCGCGTGACGTAAATTTCTCTGCTAAATTTAGTGGGGAAAGTGAATTGGTGTGTCCCATGACCAAGGAGGGAGGGGGGAGGGTTAAGGTAGAATAGCGTAGGAGAACGGAGGGAGGGAAGAGAAAAAGGAAGGAAGGGGCAAATAGGCAGAGAGGAGAAGGGGAATGTAGAAAGGGGAAGGGAGCAGATGGTGTGGACACTTTGTTTCCAGGTTCCGAGGAGGTGACTTTGGACTGTGTTGTTTGAGAGGTGGAGCTAGTTTTCTGATAGTACTCCAGGGCCAGGTCTTTCGGTAGGGCCTTGAAGGATGTCTTACATCATCGAAGTATAAGTCTCTGCTCTGATCCCAAGTGCCTTCAGACCATGGATGTTTATTTTGGAAGGGTTAGTACATACGGTGAAGGCCCTCGTTGTTTGACGAAATGAGTTAAAGTAGCATTCCCAATTTCGCAGATAATCTCGAACAATACGTCGTCTCTCCCCTAATCGACCACAAAGGGTCTCCATGGCGTCATCTTAAGGAGTCGGTGAAATGTAGACAAGCAATCACTGCAGTGCCGCTGATGCGGAAACAAGAGCCCGCAGGTAGCTGAAGTTCTGGTATCGAGGTACGCTCTCGTTCTAACGTACAACGGTTCAGCACGGCTGCTAGAACCACTGCTATCCGCATATCTCGCCGCCGAAGCTCCGTAGCTCTAGCTTGGGTAGCTTGACCCCACCTGTTTTGGGAGCTCCTGCACTGTTCAAACTTCTCAGCTGCGTCGTCATCGTCATTGTTAATGGCCGCAGTTTTCTTTGCCGCAACGTCGATGTCTTACTATCCAGAAAAGCGAGCATGCGGGTGGTGTCGTCATCGTACTCGACCACGGCGGTGTATTGTGCGACGAAGTCTCACCAGCGACGTGCTCTTCGATCTCAGCGTGAATCTGACGAAGCTCGTTGTAATTCGTAGTCAGTCTTTTGACGAAATGTCAAGGCGGTCGAGTATGCACTTTAAATAACTGCACTAGTCTCATTATTGGCTCGTATATTTTTAACTAATTTGACGGCACGCTTCCCTTTCAGTCGGTCCATGTCTCACTTCAGTAGAAGATCCTGGAGAAGTGTTATGGTCGACAAGTTACGTTCAGGATTCCGCTTACGCCTGTTCGTTCTGTCTCTGGTTGCGGCACCATCTGTTACAGTTTTGGCGGAATTTATTATTTTCTCTCAGGTGGCCCAAACAAAACGCTTCTATTCAAGAACTGCTAGATATTTACATATGTGCACAAAATGTGGTTGGTACGGCGGTGGTCCTCGCGCTTCAAGCTCTCGACGGGAAAATTTTACCCTCGTGACGTCACGTAAAATTTATCGAAAAAGATCACCCTCTTGACTTCACACGTGACGTCACGTGTGACGTGATCATGGGAACAATTCCATGATGCTACGCGCAGTGACGCCGACGGCGACGCAGCTCAACGCGGAAACGGACGCCTGAGAGCAGCGCTCTATTATATATTTTAAAGTTTTAGTACTCCTTGTATTCGCCAATGCAATTTTGCTGTGTAGTATCTGTAAAGATAATGCATTTTATATGCGAACTATTTGTAAAAGCAATATATTAAGTTTCGGGCATTTTCTTGCGCAACTAATGAGGGTGATAAGTTATTATGGCAAAATTTTAAGATGCATTGAATGTCCTGTTTTAAGTTCTTCAAAAAATATTTTGTCTCAAATTCTTAGTATACACATATCAGAGCAACGGCGATATGTGCCATATGAATAGATGAAACCTAATAAATCTTCAACTTAGAAACTCTAACCAAGCTTTATTAAAAAGCAAAAATCCCGACGTTTCGGAACCAACTCGGTGGTTCCGAAACGTCGGGATTTTTGCTTTTTAATAAAGCTTGGTTAGAGTTTCTAAGTTGAAGATTTATTAATCATTCCTAACCAGACGGATGCCCGTCGAAAATGTTTACATTTAGATGAAACCTTGTTTCGACATCTTCTGTTTACTTGACTAAATGGCCTGGAAAAGTGGGAAATTAATTTAGGGCCGTTAAACAGCAACCTTCTGTTTTTGTAGACGCAACGCGTGATTAGAACCGCCTTCTGTTACGCCGGGAGACTACGAAGTACGTAGTACCTGTATAAGGAATCAAGAAAGTAATTGACGCTACTATCTTAGATTCCATAATATGAAATAATTGGCAATGGGTTTTCTTGTCCGTAGAGTATCACCGTTATGTTTGCAATGCAATGGGTTGCATTGTTGTTTGTTGCAATGGGTTTTCTTGCCCGTAGAGTATCACCGTTATGTTTGAATCGATTCTAATTCATATTGGGAATGTTCGAGGGTCACAAAAAATGTTCCAGAAATCGTTGGAGTTAACTGACAGCTTAAGAAAAGCAATAAGTGGCCTATTATGTTCACGCTTCTTGCATGGTGTTTGGTCTGCGCCGTTCTTATCGGCCAATGGCGCAATCTGATTGGCTGCGAATCAATATTAAGATAACAGGGACTTGCCACGCCCCGTGTTTCGTAGACTGTCAGTCATCATTATATGCATGTTCTTGGTGCTGTTCAGTTCCGTTTGAAGCTATTCTGACGACCCGTCCACTGGTTTTACCTTGCATACTAACACATTTATTAGTCGTTGCATTACAAGGTAACAACTGATTGGCTTCCTCAAAAGACGCCATATTTCCTCCAGACGTCGAGAAACTCAGTTCCTTGAAACTTGTCCAAGATTATCTGATCCAGCGAATCGTTCATCTCCGGTGTGAACAGGTTTTTGTAGTCTCCAACGACACCTTTGCGCACGAGCTGAGCACCCAACGGAACATCCTGACTGACCCTGTGCCACCGCTTCAAGCCTTCCGGAACCTCCTCACCAGCCGTGCTGAGGGGACGGCAAAAGAAATCAGCTATCCCGCGGTTCGTGTACTCCTTCATTGCAGACACGTCGCTATCCTTGAGAACCTTCTCGAGGTACACTGGGTCTTCGAGCATTTTCTTCTGGTATTTCTCTCCCAGAAATTTCGCTATCTTCAGGATATGCCTGCGAGGGTTACACTTCATGTCTTCATAGTGCATGAAGAGGACGTTTGGGTCATCGTGATGCTCGTACCAGGATAGCAGGTGATCGAAGTAGCTGCCAAAGTCAGTTTCACCTTTGCAGAAGAGACCAAAGAATACCTCGAACGTGCCGTTCGTGAACTCGTAACCAGAAAATGTTTTCGTGTGGTAGAAGAACGAAGCGCAACAGTCCTTAGGGTTGCGACTGACGTAGATGTACTTTGCTTCATTTGAGTAAGGCACCATTGAAAAAGGCAGGTGGGACTTTATAATTCCCGGCCGTTTCATTGCGCGGACCGCGTCGGCGCCAAGCATTTCGATGAAAGGACTCTTTTTCAGGAAATCGAGGCCATTTCTAGGCCTCTCGCCTCCGTTGAAGATGAGATAGGCAATGTGCTGCACCCACGTCGTTCCGCATTTCGGGAATGTCACCACGAATACGTCTTCCGGTGTCGGCACGTAGTCTAAAGCTGACTTGAGGAGTGTACCGTTGAACGCCGCAGACAGACGATAACCATCGAAGTCCAGATACAGCGGGCGTGCGCAAGCGTTCTCCATTCTATTCTTGCAACTGCAAAACATAATAACAACATAGGGTCAATGATGTGGGTATGCGCCCAGAAAGTGAGGGAGAGGAGGAAACTAGAGCACTCGGAGACATCAAAACGCCGAGCTCTGATTGAAATGATTGCTGGGAAGACGGAAAGGTCTTTGTCTCTACTCACACTTCGAATGCGTCTGAACGCGAAAGCGTAACACTGGGCGCCGACGTTTGGTAATCGAGTGCGTTCGAAGTGTGTGTAGATACTAAGGCAGTTATCGTTGGGTTGATAACAGCCAAAACTCGCGCTACGTACACTTATAGCGCGAGTACTGGTTGTGCGGAAGAACGCTTCAAGGCTGCGATCTCGAGCTGTCGTGCTTGTGCATAGACTCCTATATACTGACGAAGCCTGGCAGATCGCCATGAGAAGTTCCCGCCGAAATGAGAAAGGTCAAGCGGCAGACAACGAATGAGAAAAGAGCCACGCGACTTGCGCCGCGCTGCGGCGAGACGTCGAAGCACACTTCTCCCGAGCGAACAAGATGGTTTCGGGTCCTCGGGGCTGCAAAAGCTGTGCGCTGACGTCCCGGTTCCCAGAGAAATGGCTCTTTGATGCTCTGTGCTACCAGATTCACGCGCTCTAAATCAGTGACCGGACACTCTATCGCTCCGTCGTCGAACTGCCAGGCTTTGTGAGTATAGAGGTGGCTACGGTAGGACAAATGCTCGAATGCCCTGGGAAGCAAATGGCGGCGCAGCACTTGCTGAAGGCACGTATTTTGCGTGCCCCCACAACTATGGTTTTCGGTGCATTGAAGAAACGAAATGTGTAAATTATATCAAGCGGTTTATAATATCTTAAAGCCCATTGACAAAATTCACGCTTGGCTTTCCTTGCAAGTACCGCCAATCATTCTTGTTAGAAAGCGCAGCACACGTTTACAAGCCCAATTCCTCCGCCGACATTCGCTTCCAAGGGCCGCTAACTCGAGTGCACTGCTGTTATTTTCTTCCAGCGGCTGTACAAGGCATATGCCCCTGGCGTAGCGGCGCATTCGAAACTACGAACACAAGCAAAGCAAGTGGCTTGATGCGCTTGCGTTTTCTTACGTTACGTTATGAATGGCCGAGGCATCCGTTCTTCGTATGTTGCGTGCAGAGCTACCTCTTCAAGTGGTTGCCATTCTTCAAACGAAGCACTGATGTCACGGTGACTCTCCACGTAAACGGACGTAAGCTCTCGCAACATAACGTAACGTAAGCAAACAAAGTTCTGTGAACCAGCCTGTAAAGGAACACTGACACCCTCCAAAAGTTTCTTCTTTTTTTTTTGCCGAGTGTTTTATGATGGGTATGGCCGGCAGCGCGGTGACGTGGCAAAAGAGACGCGTATGACTGGTCTAAAGAAAACGTAGTTTCAACCGCAGTCACAACTTAGAGGTGAACGGGCTATGGTAGCTGCAGCACCATTTATTGAAGTTGACCATTATTGGGGCATATACTCAGGGCATGCATCGGACACGAGGGCTGTGCAAGCATCCGGCGTGATATCGGTGTGCCTTGTATCGAGAATGAATTCTGTGTCAGAGGTTCGGCAAGAACTCTGATGCAAGTGCAGGCTTCGTGCCCAAGAAATGGTGACCACCATTGTTGCTTCATGGGATCATGAAAGGGTCTATTACAGAAAAAGTTTGCCTCATCTTAATAGGCCTTGTCTGAAATTGCTTGCTGGTAGGACAACACTAAAAGCTACGCTATTTTAATGTCGGCAAGCTTCGTCGGTGCTGAAGCACGGTGGAGGCATCGAAACAGCCGTACGGGCAGTGTGCGATGGCGCGGCACCTGTGTTTTCCGCCTTCCCACCATGAAATGTGGAAGAACAGTTTAAAGAACCTACCGTAACTGCCTGACGAAACCCTCAAAGGCCTGTGCGCACGCTGGCGACAACCCGCAGTGTGTACGCTTTCACAGCGAAGGCGAAGGACTTGCTCCGCTGCTTCGACGAGGTTGTCGCCAGCGTGCACAGGCCTCCGAGAGTTTCGTCAGACAGTTGCGGTGGGTTGTTTAAACTGTTCATGCACATTCCATGGACGAAAGTTGGAAAACACAGCTGCCGCGTCATCGCCCACAGCCCGTGCGGTTGCCACCAATGCCTCCACCGTGCTTCGCTACCGACGACGCTTGACAACATTGAAATGGCGACGCAGTCTGTGCTGTGACTGCTGCCAGACCACGAAGCGCTTTCGCAAAGGTGTATCGAAATTTACTGGTTTCCATCTTCTTTTCTTTCTTTCTTTTAACATGCCATATATCGACAGCTTCTGGCCCAGTGAATCATACGAGGGGGAACGCAAAAAATAACCGGAATGAATTTCTGAAGGGCGGGCCGTTTGTAGTACCTGCTTCCGCCACTAGCAGCGCTTAGCAGCACCGCTTCCGAGTGGGGTTTCCGGGCGGCATCGTCTGCTATGCATTTTTTTTCCCAAACGCCTCAAAAGCATTCGTCGTTTTTTTTTTTTTGCAATGTCTGATATGGCGGAACAGCCTGTGGCCGTGATAGTTTGTTTTCATTTAGAGAAGACGGCGGCGGAAACTTCTGTAATGCTTCCGAGAGCGCGCAAAGGAAATGCCAATAAGAAATCGCAAGTCTATGAGTGTTTTTCTCGCTTTAAGGCCGTTGAATTATTAGTCGATGGCCAACCTAGCTCAAGGCAATTGTCAACCTTTTCAACTGATGAAAACATTAAAAAATGTGGGCATTGTTCACTCCGAGTTTTTCCTCTTAGTGAAACTGCTAATCAGGTGTTTTATCTGGGATTTTTGCGACGCTTACGAAACTCCGTGAGCCAGAAACGCTCTGATGTAAAGGAAAGGGGAAATGGTAGTTTTATCAGGACAATACTTCATTTTGTGAATGTGAAAGATCCTTTCAATCAGACTACGAAAAACGAGGAATGATCTTGAAGCGCTTGGGGAAAAAATTCACAACATGCCGCTAGATCTATGGCAGATGAAGCCGCTCGGCAACCTGACTCAGAAAGGGTGCCGCTAAGCGCTGGTAGAGGCGGACACTGGTACTTACGAACGCCCCATATGAAAGTCATTCCGCTTACTTTTGGGCCCCCTTCATACTTTTTTGATTGTTTAAACTTTGGTTCTTCGGCCCAGTGTCTTGCTAGGTGTAATTCATATCTCTTTTCGTGTTATACATATTTTCAGACTTTTTTTTTGTTAGAATGGTGAAATGACTGCAGTGTTGCATGTTTTGATTATTTAATATGCTTGTAATGCACACATCACATTGTTTTTGTTGAATTGTTTTCTGTTTTCATATAATTTTATTGATTTGTGTCATATTCTAATGTGCCAATAAGAAGGCTGCAAGGCAGTTTCTGGCTTCAGAAAGTATCACTACAAAAATTAGTATTGTTTGATAGTCCCGTGATGGAAAAAGACTTATTTTCAAAGTTCCGTTTCCTATGTTTGAAAAGTACCTACAAGTTTGTTTTAAAAGGCTTTAGATATTTTATAGAGAAAAGTATTTTAAAAAACAAAACTTTATATATGGCTTGGAAAATAACATAATACAAGCAATTGCTACCTGAATACTTTGTCGCCTTTAGAGCCATTTTATGGGTGATTTTATCTCAACTCAGGCACATATTTTGAGTCAAATTTCTAATTTTTAAAATACATGTTATCGGGCAATTCCTATAATAAAATAAGACGCAAACGGCAAGTTCGTCAGATTTTTCGTTCTCAAGTTATGGACAGTTGAAGCGGCCAAGGTGGAAACTGTCGTTTTTCAAGCTTATCGGGGGTGCCATATTTCACTCCATCTCTTTTCCTCACTTTTTACGCTAGATCAATATAAATGTTTGGGAACACTCGCGAGATATGCTTTTTTATGCTAATCAAGTGCCTAGGTCATAACATTCTCAATGTATGTTCTTTATTCGTCAAACCACCTCTCTGCGACGATATTTGACATAATCCACATATTTTTATGATCTTTACATCACCGTAAAGATCCCATTAAGTTATTTTAAAGTATAATTTCAATATTGCGAAAGAAATGCATAACGCGCTACATGTGCCTGAAAAACGGATATTTCGAAAACCTAGCAAGTTTGGAGTCGATTTTCTAAAAAAACGTTTTATTTCTTTTATCTTTTATTCACAGTTAGGTAATACAGTAGTCTATCAGGAACTGCCAACAGCAATTGTAATATATTGTTTGTGTGGCCACTATTAAGGCTAGAATCTCGTGCCATGAGCGTTTTGAACGGGACTTCGCACAGGCACTCTGCTTAGCAGAATTTCGGCCTACGTAAGGTTTTCTACTTACCGCTAGCAGTTACCTCAATATCCAACCATAAACATTAATACAATTTGGAGTAGTGTACTTAAAAAAACAGTTACTTAGAAGTCCGTATCCACAAGTGCGGGCACCCTGCGCTTGTTTCCTCTCAATACGGAGAAATGCGGATCGTTAGAGAATTCCACTGGGGCATTTTCCTTTCGGCTTTAAGTTTGAAATACCGAACTTTATACGATTCGCGTCGGTAGGGTGTTTAGCGTAGAGTCGTGGAGGTGTTGTGTTGGAGTTGTTTGTGCTTTTTTTTTTACTGCTGGACACATGTGTGACTGTAAAAGTGTTCGGTACATTGGTTGGTGTTTGTCCTGTGTGTGTAAGTGGTTGCCTCGTGCAACCTAAATTTAAAAAAAAAACAAGACAAAACAAAAAGCATTTCTGTTGCGTTATATAGCGGTTTCTAGACCACTTTCTGGGTGGCACAAACTGCCGCCTGCTTCAATAAGGTAGGTGCTGAGCAGTATTGTATATTTTGATTTACAAACAGCTGGTCTGCGGTCCACTGGACACTACGCTCTTACTTGTCAGTTTGATAACAAGCGTAATAGTTCTGCCAATCAGCCAGCTAAATGCTCGTTCTCCGTCCAAGGGCTCCGAAGTGCAGGCACACATGAGCACGAATGGATAACCACGTCGGTAGAGGT